CATCTATTTTCCATTCAGTTGTTATGAAAACCGAAAATCCTCAACGTAGAAGATAAACAGTTTTCAGAGTATTGCAAATGATTTTTGACACAGTGCAATTGAGTAAGTACATGGATTTGCGTTGTTTTTAAGATGTTGGTGGATGAAATTTAAAGATATGTTCGCGGGTTGGAGGCAATTGGTGACCTCATTGATGTATAAACTATGCACTTACATGCATGCTTTTTTAGCCCGATGAACGCCTGTATTTTGATAATTCTGTCGTACAAGTTGGTGAATTTTCTATATGCAAATTTAAGTCGAGGGAGAAGGGTCTCCTCTGACCACGATGGTATGAAAAATATTTCAAGTGAAGTTTCCATATTTTGTCTATGAACTAACTGATGAATACGTCTTATAACTTGTAACAAGATATAATTCCGTGAGCTATATTATTGGAGTTTCGGCGCACTGGACAAAATCTGTGAAATTTGCACTTTTGATCGCTGTCCACACGGGTGGTCTAGCCAAAAATCATTTTTGGCTTGTGGCGACGCAAAGAAAGAAAAGTGGAGAACAACTAAACTATTTTTGAGACATGTGTCTTAAACCCTTTTCGTGGGCAAAAAGTGAAAGAAAACCTGTTTTCGAGAGGACTGCTCATAGTGAGAGTGGCACTTAAAATCAATTTTTGTTCAACTTAAGTGAGTTCAGAATGTGGCTTAATTTGCATTGCACAAAAGAAAAAAGTCAGTTGTAAAGGGACGGTGGTATCACCGTAAACAACATTATTCACTGACATGCATGTGTTTGTGTAAACGTTCCTTAATGGGGCGTAATGAATTCCAAGCTAACCATTTTGTAGCTAACCCGCCCAAATACAAAATGAAAGAAAAAAAATCTACCTCGCGACGTAAGGTAAAGTCAGCAAAATGAAAACGACGATTTTCAAGTCCATGAAAACTCTCTTCGTACACCAAATACAGAGCTCTATGAATTGCTCGTTGATCCACCGACTATTTGGAGGTTAAATTCCTTCGCTCGGCTTAGTACCTTCTTTTATGTCATCATTTCATGAATATTTAATTGCTTTGGTCCATAGCGGGAAGGCTTTAGGGACTGGCAAGAAACAATATTAATGCAATTCATGCAGTCACAAGGAGTAAGGTGGTCTCCGTCCTTTTTTAGTTTTTTTTTTTCCTTTTTTTTTTTCTGATACCAACACAAGTACGAGAGTATTACAAAGTTAAGATTTTCTTTCTTTCGTAATCCCATCGTGAAAAGACTTGTCCTTTTTGCTTTAATCCAAGCGTGAAAAGACTTGTCCTTTTTGCTTTAAAATATTAACCATGAAGCCATTAAGATATCGATTACTCTTACAGTTATAGGGTTTCGCAGGTCGGTATCGCATGTCACATTTTGGTATTTTAAAATTCCTCGACAAGGGGCAAATGCATGGTTGTCAACTGAACTATCTGCATAAAAAGGAATTTTTATGGCTTTAAAGAAATTACTTGAAAGCAAATTGGATCAACCTGAAAAAAATTGGTCTGTGTAAATTTTGATCATTTGATCTCGTCCTGCTTAGGAGGGGCTCAAGTTTTTATATTTTCCGTTAGTTTCTCTTCGGGTTTTAAGTCTTTTTTTTTTTTGCGATATTATTAATAATGATTTCACTAGTTCGCCTGTCTAATCTATAATCTTCTGGCCGGTGCCCAATTCACACTCGTTCATTTCTTCAAAATGTAGCATGTCCGTGCATGGCAGCTTTTGTGAAATTTAGCTTAATTAATTTAAAATCTTGCAATTATCCTTTAGCTCTATCCGCCTTCCGCATTCCTTTTGCTTAACTACAATTTTTATTTCTCGCATCGAAAAGATGTCAGAACAAAATGGAGAAATTTTTACCTTTCCTTAATGAGAATTCTGAAGTCAACGTATTTTAATTTATCGCGTAGTTTTGTTCATAGACGGGTACCAATACCTGACTGGAAGAAGAATTTGTCATTTGAGGTTTGATCGAGAGCTAAGCATGGTCGTCAGAAGGGGTAGGTGGTGGTATCCTTTAAGAAAATGTCAAGTCTCAAGCCCACGGGAAATGCGATTTTTGACGCCCGTAAGTCAAGTAAATTGCTGAAATGCCCCCACTCCATTACTGGTTTATCATTTTGCATGAAAATATTTCCCAGATACATTGAAACAATTGCTAGTTACAGTTTCGTGCTCCATGCTTGAGGTTTTCAGCTCTACTGATTACTTGAAGCAATTCCTAGTTTATAATTATCCTAATGAACAAAAGGGGGTAAGTTTCTGAAGAAACTATGGTGCTGCGTCGGTGGGAGAGTATAACAGGGTAATTAATTATTACCAACTGTGTTGATTACGTAAATTAGCCCCCTTTAAGATATAGAGTTTCAAAGCTGAAGTTTCGAGCGTTAACCCTTCGTCAGGAAAGACTTCGTAATCGATCTATTTCGACGTTTATTATCTACCCACAACATGGAGAATCATGCTTCGCGGTGCGAAAAAAAGAAAAAGAGTTGCATGTTGATCGAATTGTGTCATGATTTCCACTGAAACAAGGAAAACGTTCTAACTTAAATTAAGGAAACGAGTTAAATGATTTTGGTGCGAACTGGTAGAGGTTTGAGAGGTGGGACTTAGTCTACTTCAAGGAGTGAACTCGCAAAGGAAGTTGGGGACGAACTTGCAAGGGAGCGAGACCTTCAGATACGGGCCAATAGATGAAGAAAACACATCGCGGTTCTGTGGCCGTTAATGACTTCAGGTCACGACTAGTTTATACCAGGATGAGTATCATTTAATACTGGATTGTGTACCATTTATAACTAAGGCATCTCTCTAACACAGATAGCGTGTAGATTAAAACTTTTCAAGTGGTGTAAAACGCTAATTTCATCTATATTATACCAGGCTCTGCGGTAACCCTCCGTCGGAGTGAAAGTTTCATTCGCAGTCTATTACTCTATTGCCATTTCCTCCTATTACTCCTCCTCCGGGTGCACGTCCCCTCACAGAACAAGCAGTAAACATGGCCAGATTAAATGCTGGGCTGGTTCATCTATTGAACGTTTCTTGGATAGGCGGTGACGACCCATCCATTCTGTGGGTTCTCGACGGTCCTAAATTCTACCAGGCTCTGCTGTAGCCCTCCGGCCGGTACGTGGATGTTGCATTCACAGTCTGTTTTTCTTTTGCCATTCCATTGTATTGCTCCTCCTCCTGGCGCACGTCCCCTCAATACACAAGCAGTAAACATGGCCAAATCAAATGCTGGGCTGGTTCCAACGAACATGCTGCTGCTGCTGCCCAGTGGTACTTTGGTCGCCCCTCTCCATCTAAATGATAGCCGACGCAAAAACTTTGGCTGAAATAAAAAGGTCAAAGAGACTCTAAGTGTTTCTCTCTTTATAATTTAAAAATAAGTTACTAAGGCCAACGACAATGACAACAGTGTCATGGAGAACCATCTGAAGAAAAAAGCCATATGCTTGTGAATTCCACTCGTCCGTGAATTAAAAGAAAACTAACTTCATGTATACTTCCTTAAGTTTCTTGTAGAGAAAACGAACCGTAGATTAAGGTAGGATGCTGCTACGTCTGATTACTCTCTAAATTTCACAGGTGCAACCGTGGTGTCTTGTTTAAACAATCCTGAGCACAGGATTGGTAGGCTCGTGCTCGTATTATTTCAGGGAGATTTTCCGCTATTGCCTCTTTTCGCTACCTTTCGTTAGCTCCGCTTAAGGAGACACATACAGAAGCATTTTTGCAGGAACATTTTCCTCTGAAATATTCGGGAGGAATTTGTTCGAAACTGATTTGAAGATTTACTCGTAAAGTCACCGAGCACATTGTATAGCTGAGCCAATGGGCTTCGCTTGAAATTACTGACCAGTGTGTTTCCCACGAAAGCCGGCTGATTGAAAGCGATGTGCGTCGTCCGGGCAGGGTTTCTTCGTTGCTCAAGGAGGAACTGGTACCAGTTGTGAAATCCATTGTAATTGTTGTTGTTGGGCATTTGATTTCCTGATAAAGAAAAGCGGAAGCACAGAATTTGATGCGTATGGATACACGTGTCCAACTTTGTACCATATTAATAAAAACGGAAGCGCAGAATTTGATGAGTATTGATACGCGTGTCCAACTTTGTACCATATTAATTGTAGCGAGAGCGTGTAAAGTAGCTTAGTTCTTTCGTGGATTATCTAAGACCTCCAATCAGCTTCTCTGGCTTATCTATACGATCCATTTATCTATTTTATTTGCAACACTTACCAACAAAAACATGTTTAAAGCCATTGCTGTTTCGAAACCATAATTTCTCTATGACGCATCTGAACTGTTCTAGGGTTGTCTGAAAGTGAAGTTAATAAACATAAAAGATATGAACGATCCAGCCAACTGATTTTAAAACAAGTGATGAAAAAGATGTGGAGGAGATCCAACAAATTTGTCAAGTCTCCAACTTTATGGGCCTTCTCGGATTTTCTTTTTTCGTCGACTCACGCTCGTGAAAAGGTGAATAACATCTTCCTTTGCGAAATTCAACTTGACATTTTTAATACAGAGTCAAGAAGAGAGGAAGTAAGAAGTAAGATTAGGCGTTGTTTATTGCTTCGATATATTTAAAGGCCAAAAAAGGTCATCAGGTGCCTGCTCTTGCTACTGAAACGGTACCGTTGAGAAAATACACATGAATAATTTTGGATCATTGGAAGATCATTTGTATTTGGTAGATCTGGGCAATGAAAGATGTGGTCCCTTTTTTGCAGGGACAAAGAGGAAAATCTGAGATCTCGTGTGGAATGGAACACCAATTATCTTGCTAGCTCACAATTGAGTTCTCTGTTACTCAGTGGAAGAGCATCATACGGTAAGATCCATAGGGCTGAAGTTTGAATCGTCTTGAATGACTCACATGTTCAGGACATATGGATAGCTTACTCCTTCAAAAAAGGAATAGTTCTATAAGTTATAGACATACCACGCCTTGAGGCAATGATCCTGGCTGACCTAATAAATAATTGAGTGCAGCCTCCATAGGTCCTCCTGGTTGGGTTACCGCAGTTATGAAGTCATTTACATGTTGCTGATTGAGAACAAACGGCACTGCTTGGTAATCGACCAATATGTCTGTTTGGAATCATAATATACATGATCAGTTATGAATCAAAAATTGGCAATTTAAAAGTCTTTTTGCTAATATCAATCTTATTTCTCGGCTGTTTTTGCCTGGTTCTTCCTACTCTACAAACTAGTCACTACTCATGAACATCTCTTTAAAGAGCAGGGCGATATCGTAGATGAACTATGTCGACAGTGGATGAATATATATCCATCGTTATTTCCCCTCTGGACGTAGATTTCCAAGGCTTACTAAAGCTCTGAATTGAATCAAATCACAGCTGACAGACACCTTATTCTTTAACTACCTTCAAATCGGGTAAACACGTTAGAAGCGAGTTTTGCAACTCCTCCTCCTCCTTGAACCACGGTGAACAACGGGTTTGCATTGTTGACCGCATTAACCGTTAATTCTGTAGGAATATCCAAGTTATTTCCAGCATTGTTCCACATATTTTGGCAAGCGTTTCCAAGATTTACTGATCTGCAATGTGAAAAGGCAAATTCTTACATAGACGTGTCCCAGAGGAAATTATTTACGAACATTTAAAGTAACACTTATAAATAGTAAATTTACGGTATACTAAATGCCAAGAGAGATTGTTTTATAAACCTCTCTCTGCGATGAATAGGAAAGTGAGTAGGAAAAAGAAGAAGACTTGGATATTGGCACTTATTCCTTGGTACAATACGCCCTTAAGAACTGGCCGTGACTTTACTGACTTTCCTAAAACTGAAATTCTTACTCTCTTTGTCGCAATGAATTTTTACTGAGGCCACTTATTAGCTGAAAACGTGTTTTACTTTGTACTGCATTAAGAAGAAAGATATCACCTTAAACAACATGAGGAAGTATAAGAAAACCACGACAGCAGTGGCAACGGGAACGCCACTAAGCAAAAGGTTTAATGAGTAGAAAGATGGCTGTGCACGTGCGTTAGAAATATTTGTAAATTTCTTTGCGTATTCTGCAAAACAACAAGGTGAAAGGATCAATTTTGCGTTTTCCAGAGAACGTGAACGACAATGGAAACTAATTGAAATATCTATTTCTAATTAAACGCTGTATTCCACATTCAGTTTCGAGATAGTTTTGACAGTGAAAAACAAACGAATTGACTTTAAAGTATCGCGAGATTCGAAGGCAAAAAATGAGTCTATCTTTTAACCGACGTTGTTCACGGCGTCGCTGTCGTCGTTTCTTAAACTCCCTATCATTATTTACCTTGAGACATGAGGAAAAGTCAGCAAAAAGATGACAAAGATTTTCATGTTCATGAAAACTCTCCTCATACGCCAAGTATACATCTCTGGGATATGTTCGTCGACCCAGTGTTTTTTAATTGAAGGTTAAATTCCTACGCTCTGAACACTTTTTACGTGATCATTTCATGATTATTTAAACGCTTCGGTCCATAGCAAGAGGTATTCGGGAAATGACATGAAAGTATTTAAAATTAATCCAATGTCAGCCACTAAAGTATCATTTACCTAGAAATATATAGACACACCCGTTTTCAAAATCGTTTCAATCTGAAAATATATTTTAAACAAATGTATAGTAATTTTTTGTTTTCTTGTTAAAAAGTGTGTCTTTTTGATGAAAAAATGAAGTTATTGTATATGTAAGTGATACATACATTTCGAGTTTGCAACGGAATAACTTTGCATAAACATTTATTGAAATAAACTCTCGTCCAAAAACATCAACCCAGAGGCAATAAAGATATCGATTGACTTGAAGCGCTTAAATTTGGTTTCTCTCAGCAATCCAAGGGTGAAAAGATTTGTCCTTTTAGTTTCAAATATCAACGATAATTATAGCCATTAAGATATCGATTACCTTCACAGTCATTGGGTTTCACATGTCCTTATCGCGTGTCATTTTATCGATCCAATGGGTTCATCGACAAAGGAAAAATAGTTACTTACATGAACATGTCCAAAAAAAAAAAAAATCATTCCCAGGCGTCTTAGGTGATACCTAAATACACTTGGGATCAACTTAAAAAAAAACGTGGAATGCTGTAAATATCGATCTTTTGACCCCATGACGTTTACCTGCGGCTTTTGTATTTTTCTCGTTAGTTTCTATTCGGCCTTGAAGTCATTTCATTTGCGATATTCTTGATAGTTATTTTGTTTGGCTAGTAACTACCACCATTTTATTGAAAAATTAAGACTCTTCAAGAAAATAAAGTGAGTCAATGAAGGAACAAGTCAACAGACACTGAATGAAGGCGCGAGAACAAAAATAGTTCAATGCCCTCTTTGCTGTTCTACAGTTGTCGCGTTGTCACCTTTCTGGTGCGATTTACTTTCGTCAAACAACATGGATGAAAATGCAGGTTACACGCTTGGTACTGTGTGAGTAAAGCAGTAGACCCTACTTTGAGATGTTCCTTATGCCATCCTTAAGGTCACTCTCTCTACGCTAAGCAACAGGTATGGCAGGTCTTAGCGAAAAATCAGTTTGGTGTGTTGCTTCACGAAAAAAAAATCGCTGCTGTATTTGCACTAATTTTACTACGATTGGTGCTGAGAACCAAACCCTGTTTCCGGGCAATAAGCTTTTCACAAGCACGTCGCAACGACTTGCACCCTGTGACTCGAGGGATAGTTTCATACAGTTATAAGTTGTAATAGTTGCAACATTTTTTTAATGAAATGTCAGAGCCACTAGAATATCATATAGTGAGGAATGTACGTACAGTGTAACCTTTGCATAGCCATTTATTGAAATAAACTTTAAACAGAATTTACTCAGGAACAAAATATAAACCCTTGTGATACATTGAGGTTGACTAAGAACAAGCACTTAAAGTTTCTTTCTCTTAGCAATCCAAGCGTGAAAAGACTTGTCCTTTTAGTTTCAAATATCAACGATAATTATCGCCATTAAAATATCGATTACTTTCGCAGTCATTGGTTTTCACATGTCCTTATCACATGTCCTTTTATCGATCCAAGGGTATATCGAAGTTTATCGACAAAGGGAAAATAGTTTCCAACATTAATATCTCCATCACAAAACAATTATTTCCAAGTTTCCTTGGTGATACTCAAATACAATTGGGATCGATTAAAAAAAAAAAATGGGTGTTGCAAATATCGATCGTTTGACCCCATAATGTTTACCTGCAGCTTTTGTATTTTTTGCGTTAGTTTCTATTCGCCTTTGAAATTATTTCGTTTTGCAATATTCTTGATAGTTATTTGACCAGTTTGGCTAGTAATTACTACCATTTTATTTAAAAAATTAAGACTTTTCAAGAAAATAAAGGAACTAGTCAATGGACGATGAATGAAGGCGCGAGAACATACATATTTCAATGTCCTCTTTACTGTTCTACAGTTGTCACGTTGTCACCTCTTTCCTGCGATTTACTTTTGTCAATCAGCATGGATGATATTGCAGGTTACACACTTGGTACTGTGTGAGTAGAGCAGTACACCGTATTTTCAGATGTTCCTTATGCCGTCTTTAAGGTCAGTCTCTCTACGCTAAGCAACAGGTATGACAGGTCTTGGCGAAAAAAACCGTTTGGTGTGTTGCTTCACGAAAAAAAAATCACTGCTGTATTTGCACCAATCTGACTACGATTTGTGCCGAGAACCAAACCCTGTTTCCGGGTAATAAGCTTTTCACAACACGTCGCAACGACTTACGCCCCGTGACTCGAGGAACAGTGAAATACAGTTATAAGTTGTAAATAAATAGTTTCGATATTCTTTTTTTATGAAATGTCAGCCACTAGAATATCATACAGCGAGGAATGTGTGTACAATGTAGCTTTTGTATCGCCATTTATTGAAATAAACTTTCAATAGAATTTACTCAGGAACAAAATATAAACCCTAGTGATTCACTGAGATATCGACTTACTAAGAACATGGACTTACATTTTCTTTTTCTTAACAATCCAAGCGTGAAAAGACTTGTCCTTTTAGTTTTAAATATCAAAGATAATTATAGCCATTAAGATATCGATTACTTTCACAGTCATTGGGTTTCGCATGTCCTTATCGCATGTCATTTTATCGATCCAATGGTATTTTTAAGTTTATCGACAAAGGGAAAATAGTTACAAACATAAATATCTTCCCCACAAAACAATTATTCCCAGGCTTTCTTGGTGAGACCTAAACACAATTTAGGATCAACAAAAAAAAATGTGGGATGTTGTAAATATATCGACCGTTTGACTGACCCCATAATGTTTACCTGCAGCTTTTGTAGTTTTTTCGCTAGTTTCTCTTCGCCTTTCGTTTTGCAATATTCTTGATAATCATTTGACTAGTTTGGCTAGTATCTACACACTTGGTACTGCGTGAGTAGAGCAGTACACCGTATTTTGAGATGTTCCTTATGCCGTCCTGAAGGTCACTTTCTCTACACTAGGCAACAGGTATAAGCAAAAAACACGTGTTTTGCTTTACGAAAAAGTCGCTGCTGTATTTGCACCAATCTGACAACAAAGCCGCGAAGCAAACCCTCTTTCCGAATACAAAGCTTTTCACAAGCACGTCGCAACGACTTGCACCCTGTCAAATAAGCTGAACATCAAAATTTTGTCAGGATACTCTCAATTAACGATTCTTAATTACATATTCTTGCAATTCTTGAAATTTTCAGCTCTATTAATCGAGGCAATTTTTCCTCAATGGTTATCTTAGACCGCTTTGCGAGAGAGTCAGCGCTGTCTTTCCGTTCCACTCCTTTGCAAGGTTAGAGCAGTAGGAAAATATTTTGACTTAACTAATGCATAGCATAACATACATAGGATACTAATGAGTTAACGTATCACGCACTCGTGTATACACACGCAGCCATCTTGTTGATTCAAGAAATCTGATTGGTCGGCAGACTTGATAGTAAGTGGGAGGATGTCTTCTCCGCTGTAAAATATGATTTACACTCAAAACTAATCAAGAGTGGACAGAAAAAGTTCGATTCTTCCCCTTTTCTGTAAATGTGGTATTACATCCCTCATAACGAAAGATAAAAACTTATAAATGCTAGGGTATTTTTGGAGGATCAGTTTTTTCACAGGAATTACTCGTGATGAAAGATTTGATGTAAAAGTGGCTCTTAAGGTTAAAAGAGAACAGTTTATAAGGACAAGGGGGTTAGAGAAAGGTTTCTCCCAGTTGCAAGTTTGTCCTCGACTTATTTTGCAGGTTCGTAATCGATCTGTTTTGACATTTATTATCATAAATCAGTATCTATCAACGACACGGAAAATCATGCCTCGCGGTGCGGTGTTAGATTCAGATTTGCGCTTTGATTTCGACCGAAAAGGGAAAGCTCTTTTCTTTAAATTCAGGAAATGGGTAGAAAGATTTGGGTGCGACCGGGTAAAGGTTTGGGGAGAGACTTGGTTTACTTAAAAGAGTGAACTTGCAAAGGAGGCTGGGGTGAGCTTGCAATGGGGCGACACCTCCAGATACCGTCCGTTAGATGACGAAAACACATTATGTTTATGGCTTCAGATCTCGATCGATGTACACCAATGATGAGGGTCATTTCAAGCTGATTTGTGTAACGTTTGTTCATAAGACATCTCTTTCACACATTTATCGTCTAAATTAAAATTTTAATGTTCCAGATAAATCCTGTGCAGTAATACAAGACGGTACACGTACCTCAGCGTACATTTTTTGGATAGGCTGTGACGACCTTTCCATGTGAGTCCTCGACGGTCCTAAATTCTACAGTGCTCCTCCCTAACCCTGGGACTTGAATTTCACACACACAGTCTGTTGGTCCCCCTCCTGGCACACGTCCCTTCAATACACAAGTAGTAAACATGGCCAAATCAAATGCTGGGCTGGTTCCGACGAACATGCTGCTGGTGCTGCGCGGTGGTACTTTGTCCGCCCCTCTCCATGTAAATGTTAGTCCACGCAGAAAATATGGCTGTAAATAAGAACGTCGGAGAGAAACTTAGTATTTACCTCATTGTATTTGAAATTCAGCAATGGGCTATCAAGGGCACACAAATGTTTATGGTGTCAATTAGGATCACAACAGTGCACACCCAACAGAGGTATGCAGCCGAACGCCACTCCTCGGTGAAATAATAATGAATAACAGACTTTTAATTGCAGAACGCGAACGGTATCTCGGGCTATAGGCTAAGATTACGTTACGGCATCTTGTTTAGCCAGCGCTCAGCTTAGGATTTATAAGGCTTGGCTGAGAGCCTGCTTAGCCCTGACTATTTCGAAGCACTTTTCTATCAGAGCCTTGTCGTTTAGCACGCACACTTGTAAAAACTTCTTTTTATCGAGAAATATCAAAGTAACGTGACATAAACATTCAAGCAGAATAGTGTGGTTGACACTGCATGCTTGTACCCCACACCACC